CTTTCACTGCAGCGTTGCATTTCCCAGTTCTTGCTTATGGAGGGTATGAATTAATATAACAAGCTAGTTCAGTAAATCCCTGTGTTATAATGAAAGCTCGAGCGCTGCAGTACCCAGTGTGCTGTCTCAGTTGTTACTAAGCTAGCTGGTCTAGGACATTTAATTGTAAAACTGTGTCTTTAATGGTGGCTTTGTGAGCAAGAGGTACATAATGAAAAACTGGAGAAAGCTGCACGCCTTCTATAAATCGCATGCACATATGTAGCAAATGGAATAAAAACACCAGTGTGCACGCACATGGTTTCACAAATGCGTTAACGGTGTCGATCTATCGCCGGATACAATAAAGAATATATGAATGACAACTTAAATGCTCATGTTATGAAACCCCCTCCCCCCCATCGCTCCTTTGACACTTCCCCTTGCCCTTTATCCCACAGCAGAAGTAACACAAAGGTAATCTTTAAAATCTTTACATAATGACAGTGAACCTGCCTTTCACAAGCGCAGTTGTGTGGGGAAATGAGATGCCGATTGATTTAACAGTTAGCACTGCGGCACTGCACACGGATCCAGTGCAGTCACGTCCGTCTCTACATTGTTATTACATGTTGGTGGTGAAACAAACGGTCTAAAGTATGACTAACCCAAAAGAGTAGCAGATGATTTCTTTGTCAAAGAAATCATGAAGAATATTTTCTATAGGCTTTTCTTGTAGGATGAGAGTTATAGGAGGCCTCTAGCTATTAAAAAGGTATATAAGGGATCATTTGTGCCATAAAGCAATTAATATACTGAATAAGATGATGTGATGTATTTTGAATGGAATTGAATGTTCACATGTTTATATGTATGAATGTGTGCTTGATTTGAATCGATTGACTTGATGATCCAAAGACAATTTTTCCACTAATGTGGACAATAAAGTAATTTTATTCTGTTGTATTGTATATGTGGAACTGTTGGGTGGTTTCTGTGTCAGGCCCGCACTTGTTTTTTCTTCTTCTGTGCTGCAGTATACCAGCCTCTGGTTCCACACTAGCAGCATTTCCTCTCTCTGTAAGAAGCTGTAGTGCTGAACTGAGTTTCAGTTCTATGGTTCAGTGGTCTGTAGTCTGCTGTTCAGCAGCTGATATGAGTTCCCCACTCTCCTCCTCTCCTTTTGCTGTCTTTCCTCTCGATGCTCCGATTCAGCAGCAGCAGGACTCACTGCAGCTCCAGAGTCCCTCTCCCACACATACTTTTTTCGACTCTGCGCTGCTCTCCCTTTCTCCTTGCTTGTTCTTAGCTCTCATTTTAACCTCTCCTTTTATCTTCCTGTCCTCATTTGCCCTCCTCTCATCTAAGCGTTCTCGTACCTCTGCACACTTCAGCTCCCTCGCGCTCACTCCAGCTCATCCTCTTGACTCCTTTCTTCAGCTTTCTGCTTCTCGCTGCTTATGGATTATAGTCCAACTTTCCACTGTCATCTATATATCTCCGTGGCCTACTTCAGTATTTTTGGACACTAC